AACATATGCACAATTTGCTACGTAAACCACAATAACCTTTCTTATTCTACACCCTATCACCTCCATCCCAAATCGTTCTTAGGTAGGCCAAGTTTTTTCCGCTTTTTTTCAAAATGAAATATTCTTTTTTTTTTTAACATATACATGTGATTATTAGGTTATTTGGTTATTAATCTAATAACCAAAACAAAGTGTAGGGGACGCCAAGAGCCAGATGACATCTGAGCAAGATGATCTACAGCTGAGGGGTGGACCCTTGGGCCATTTGTAGGCAGGAGATCCTTGTGAAAGAGCCTGAGCCTTCAGCATGTAGTCATTTGTTAATTACTCCCCTCATCTGTGTTGTATGGTCTCAATAAAAGGCTGGTGCGGGAGGCGCCTGTGGCTCAGTGAGTAGGGCGCTGGCCCTATTTACCAAGGGTGGCAGGTTCAAAACCAGCCTCGGCCAAACTGCAACAAAAAATAGCCGAGCATTGTGGCAGGCACCTGTGTAATCCCAGCTACTTGGGAGGCTGAGGCAAGAGAATCGCCTAAGCCCAGGAGTTGGCGGTTGCTGTGAGCTGTGACTCCACTACTCTCTACTGAGTGTGAAAAAGTAAGACTCTGTCTCTACCAAAAAAAAAAAAAAAGCCTGGTGCGAAGGTTGCTGTGGGTTACCCTGTAAGTAAGGGCTAGCCCACCTCCTACAAGCTTGTACTTCTAATCCACCTCTCGCCTGGTTCCTTCCTGCGGTAACCAAGACCAGGGCCATAGGGGCCCGATGGGTCATGACAACAAAATATTCTTTAAAAAGAAGAAAAGTTATAGGCCAGGTGTGGTAGCTTACACCTATAATCCTAGCACTCTCTGAGGCCAAGACAGGCACATCACTTGAGGTCAGAAGTTTGAGACCAGCCTGAGCAAGAGTGAAACCTTATCTCTACTAAAAATAGAAAAAAAATCAGCGAGGAGCCATGGCTCAAGCCTGCAGTCCCAGCTACTCGGCAGGCTGAGGCAGGAGGATTGCTTGAGTCCAGGAGTGAAGTTGCAGTGAGTTGTGATGAAGCCACTGCACTCTACCTAAGGCAATACAGCTGAACTCTCTCTCTCTCATTCTCTCTTTATATATATATATATAAAATACATATATATGTGTGTGTGTGTATACATTTTTTTTTAGTACATTTGGGGTACAAGTGGATTTTTGTTGCAGAGATGAATTGTACTGTGGTGAAATCAGGATTTTCGTGTACCCATTATCTGAACAGCGTATATTCTACCTGATAGGTAATTTTCATCCCTAGCCCTCCTTCTGCATCTCAAAGTTCATTATCCCACTCTATGTGACAATGTATACCCATTGTTTAGTTCCCACTTATAAATGAGTACACGTTACATTTGGTTTTCCACTTCTGAGATAATTTCACTTAAGACAATGGCTTCTAGTTCCATGCAAGTTGCTGCAAAAGACATTATTTCATTTTTTTATAGCTGAGTAGTAAGTATTCCATGGTGTATAAATAACACATTTTCTTTTTCTACTCATGGACAATTATGTTGATTCCCTATCTTTGCAATTGTGAATTATACTGTGATAAACGTATAAGTGCATGTGTCTTTTTGATACAATGACTTTTTTCCTTTGGGTAGATACCCAGGAGTGGAATTGCTGGATCTAAGGGTAGATCTTAGTTCTCTGAGGGATCACCTTACTGTTTCCCGTAGCAGTTGTACTAGTTTGAGTTCCCACCAAGAGTGTATAAGCATTCCCTTTCCCACTGCATCCACACCAACTTCTATTGACTTTTTTTTTCTTTTTAATAATGGCCTTTCTGACAGGAGCAAGTTGGTATCTCACTGTGGTTTTAATCTATGTGTCCCTGATGATTAGTGATGGTGAACATTTTTATATATGTTTGTTGGCCATTTGTATATCTTCCATTGAAAAACATCTGTCCATGTCTTTTGTCTGCTTTTTAATGGGGCTATTTGTTTGCTTCTTATTGACTTGTTTTAGTTCCTTGTGTATATTGGATATGAATCTTTTGTTGAACTTATAGTTTGAAAATATTACATTTTCCACAGGATTCTGTCAGTTTTCTATCTACTCTGTTCTTTAGGAGAAGAGCTACACTGAGTTTTCATATAGGCCAGTGGCTCTCAACCTTCCTAATGCCATGGCCCTTTAATACAGTTCCTATGGGTCACGACCCACAGGTTGAGAACCGCTGATATAGACCAATGTTTATAATCAATATTTTCAATTTATTTTTTGCTTTTTAAATGAGTTTTTCAAGTAATCAATGCCATTAAACTGCCTTTGCCAATGTCCATGGGACTTTGTAGGCCACATTATTTTACACAGAAGATTCAACAAAGGGGTGTCTTAAGATATTCCAATAAAATCTATAGATCACCCCACTATTATTAAGACAGCAGTCATTTCATTAGTATGAAGGCAATAGGAATTTTTAGCCAAATATTTCTCTTTTAAGGAAATATACTGATTACCTTCAGCTTTGGACCTAATTTTTCCTTTATGCTTAGCTGATAACCATACTATGAAGTAGAAAGTGATTAAGAGTAGAGATAAACTCAGGCAATGCACTTTTATAGTATTTTTCTTATTCAAAAATAAAAATCACCACCATAAGAAAAGACTGAAAATGGCATGAGTCCATGGTATCTGGTACTTCCATACTACTATACATGTTTACTGAGCTGAGTTAGCCAAATACTGAAGTATAAACGTCAAGAAGAAGTGGGAAAATTGAAGCCTGAATATATTTAGAAAAAGTAATTTCCATTTTTCTAAAGATAATTATTTGGACATTTTTTTGAGATCAGATCATAAATGTTACATCTATTATACATGAAATAAATGAAAATACAGAATTCATAGCAGGAACTCAGTAGTGGAATGAATTAATAATATTCAAAACTTCAATCTTAGCCAGATAAAAACTTAATATAGATTAAACTGAGAATTTCCATGATTATTATTGTGGAATATATTTTTTAAAAGGGCTTGGGTTCTCCCTTACAAAGCTGCTATTATAACACTTAAGATAGTATCAATATTCATAGGATGAGTAAGTCTTAATCAAGGCATCCACTGAGAGAAACAGCAAAATAATAGTGAAAATAGAACTTTTCATCACATTGAGAAGTGACGTCAAGAGATTTAAATCGGATGGGGGGACTTTAATGAAAATATATTTTATTCAATGTATTCAATATAAAGAATGGCTTCAAATGAGGATACTTTCTGTTTTCAATCTGTTAATTTTCTATAATGTTCTATGTCATTCAAAGACTACAGTTAAAATAAGAGCACATTTAATCTGCAGGGTATTCATAACAGATGCAAACTGGTGGCAATTATCTACAACTGCTCATGCTTGATGACTGCGTGATCAAGATTCCTCATTAGAATAACAAGCCACATTTTTCAGAGTAGGTGGTTAAAGCAATGTTTTGCTTTGCTCGGGTCTGTTTCTATTTCACAAAGTGGATGAATTTACAAAGTCCCAGGCAATTTAGTTACCTAGATGGCACCACCTCTCATGTGTGATTAAATAAATGTGTACCAATAGAGGCCCAGTATCACTCATGGCTGGATGGCAAATAGTCTGTTACAAGAGCATTGACTAAACATCAGAAACAAAATACAAAGTTGACCCTCTTCCTACAATGACCACGTCTTTAAGTTGACCTAATTTCCATAGACCTGCTATGTCCCACATGTACGTATCAGTATAGGAGGCCTAGTTCCTTATGTTGACCATCTCTGTATGTTGATCAGTTTGTTACAGGTCACTGGGTGTTCAACATACTGGTTCTACTGTGAATTAATATGTACAATGTTCCTTGAGGTTTATAACCTAGCTAGACACTTTTGAAATGAACTGGTGTTCTCTCCTTCAAGATGCAACCCCCGTTCCCCAGTTTGAGTCAGGACGCCCTCCTTTGTTTTCCATTGTGTTATATGTTTCCCTCATACAATCAGAGCACTCATTGCTTTGAGTCCTTCAGGAGAGTTCCATGGGGAAAAGAACTTGGACTTTTATTTTTAATCATAATACTCAGAAGAACCTATGTGAGATAGGTTCATAGGAAATGTTTACTGAGTTCATAAAGAGCCGGAGCTAGGAAATTCTATTCTTCCCTCTTATTTCTTAAGAGGAGAAAGGACAGACCTAGCATGCACTCTTGTGTTCATTCGCTGAGTTTCAAAGAAACAGCAGACACTGCGCAAGGTTCTAGAGGACATCACAATAAAGCAGAACCTTAAAAATAACAATGCAATTTGGTAAGTGTTTCTCGGGGTACAAATATTAAGGATCAGTGAAAGTGCAGAGATAACGTATAACCTATCACAGAAGGCTTCCCAGGAAGTGACGTTTGGTTTGGATAGTGATGGATGAACAAGGGGAAAAGAGAGACTTTGAGGCAGAATGTCATGAGAAATATGGTATGCTTAGGAAATGAAGAGCGGCTTCGTGTGGCCAGAAAACTCGACATTTTAAAAAGGAGCTGGAATTTTGACAAAAGCCAGCTTATGCTGTGCTAAGGAATCTGGAATCTGGAATCCGGGCTTTATCTTCAGTGAAATGGGAAACAGTGAAGGTTTATAAGCAGAGGAGTGATGTGATCAGATCCAGTTCCATACAAGATTCTGCAATTATCATGTAAGAAAATGGATCTTTTTACTGAGGTTTAAGAAACTATAGACAAGGAGGCTAGAGCCTCACATTGGAGACAATGACCTAAATGATTATCAGCTAAATCAAACAGGAAAAGTAAAATTAACAAGATACATTTCCTTTCCCTGTAATGCTTATACTCTACCCATACAGGTTGTCAACTCCCTGGGAAAATAAACTGCATTTTTCTCTGACGTCTAATTTTTAAATAACAACATTATTAATGTCTTATATGCATAATAATTTAGTAAGAGAAACATTAATAATTTACTAAGAGTAAGCAAATAATGTTGCAAACTGAAAGACTTTCCATACCTGAGACACTTTGCCTGTTGGAATCTGAATCTCCGTTACTAGAGTTAGAATTGTTGGAGGAGTTGTTATCAACCCCTCCCAGCAGGGGGCGCAAGTGGCTCACTGAGACTTGTTCAATGAATGAAGTTCCGTACTTGCGGAAATACCACCATTCAAATATCTAGAACAAAAAGTAAGAAGCATGTTTACTGTCCTTGATACCACTTAACGATTTCTGTACACATGCCCAAAGAGTACTTTATGTTTACTAATTCTGTCTACCTTACATACTTAAACAATTTTTAATACAAAAATGTGTTTATTCTAAAAATAAAATTAAAACACCAATAACACTTAAAATTATCAATGTGGTTTTCTCTGCTTAATATCAATGTGGTTTTCTCTGTTTCAAAAAAATCTATAACTACAATCACTAACAAATGAGCGCTGTTATAAAATTTTCATTATTTTTCTCTAAATTTATATAATATTCAAATAACAAAAGCACCATAGCTGAAAGACAACTCCAGAAATATGTGTGTAATACAAATAAGCTAGTTCCCAAATATGGCTCATGAAATATTCAAATTCTTGGCACTTTCTATTCTGATTTGGCAAAATTTTTAAGAGCAAAATTCCTTTTTTTTCTTTTTTAAAGTAAGACCTTCTCAGAGAAATGCTGGTTTTACAGAACAAAAGAATGAGAAGTATCCAGTTTCCTGTGTGGATGGCACCCAAGCACTGACAGTCAGCATTATTCTACTTGCTAAAAAGTGCTTTACAAACACAAGCATCTGTGGTACACCATTAATGTTTCCTAGTTCACAAGCTTACTAATCATTATGTACTGTGAATTCCAAAAGAGGAAGAAATAATTTTCATTCATAAAAGGAAGAACACAGATGCTCACACAACTACATTGAAGTCAGGACGTCCTAAGACCAGAAAAGCAAGTGACCTCCCCAGCCCTTCTTACTTGGACCCTTCTGCCTCTCTAGTGACCACCACCCCTACCACTGTTCAAAGTCCCATCCACTTTCCTCTTCTCTCTCTCTGATTTGGAATTTGATCCTTAAGGAGTCACAAAAATCATTCCACAGAAAAAATTTAACAATCAACTGTATCCCAGAATACCATACGATTGCTGTATTTTTATAACATAGAATGTGTAATTAATATACTTTTATGCTACTTATTTCATAAAAACAAGATTTCATTATCTACCTGAAATGGACTTTGGACTATCACTTAAAAACTGATGCTTCTCTATTTTTTTCTACTAAATATCTAAGAAGATAAAAAGAATATCTATGAGTTACAGAGGAAGCATCATCCAAAGGAAATGTTACCCATCCTATTAGAGAACACCTTGACTTATACCCAGGGAGTTACTCCTTCTGACTACAGGTTGAGTATCACTTTTATCTTAAATGCATAGAACCGAAGTGTTTTGGATTTTAAAAAAATGTTTGTTTGTTTTTTTTATTTTGGAATGTTTGTATTATACTGATGGGGCATCCCTAATTCAGAAATGTTTTCTTGGGCACTCGAAACATTTAGGATTCTGGAGCATTTTGACTTTGGATTTTTAGATTTGGGATGTTCAACAAGTATGTGAGTTTTTAGATGTCAAAAGACATGAGTAATTTCTCTTGGCAGAGTAGGGAGAACACCAAGGGACGGGACTGATCCGTAACATTCAGAACGCAGGAATAAGAGACTAGGGTCAGTGCAGCTTCTTGTCAGTTACTAGGCCATTGGTGGAAAGTCCTGGAAATTATGGTGACAATGATACAGTCCTGACTGCCCAACAAAATCATCAAGAGATTCATGACTCTGCGTTTGTTAGAAGAGAAGGAAGATTCGAGAGGACCCAGGACACTGGTCACAGAGGGCAGTGGCTCTCAGGCGCTGCTGGGGGACAGTCTTCTCTGCCCCAACCCTTGCTCTGCTTTCTAGATGGTGCTGCTGAGGCACTGAGACTTCTTCACTCCATCACACAGCACTAGTGCTCCACACCAGTCGTGGTCGGAGCTCCAGGATTACAAAGCCTTGGCCCCTGCCACTCCAAGTCCATGCCACAGATCCTCCATGCCTCTCACAGGCCACCCCAGCAGGCCTGTGCCCACCACACAAGAAATCCTCAGCTTTCTTCAGATTTCTCAGTTCTTCTAGCAGAACCACAGACTGTCAGCACTAAAAGGGACCTTAAAGAACTATGTACAGAGCTATAATTGGGTTATAGTTTTCATAAGAAAGCTATAAATTGGTTTCATAGTAGGGCTAAGTACATGGGATACTTTTTTCCCCATTCTTCAGATAACTTTGCTAAGAAGAATATATTCCAGCTCCATCCATGTAAACATGAAGGAGGCAAAGTTTCCATCTTTCTTTAAGGCTGCATAGTATTCCATGGTGTACATATACCACAATTTATTAACCCATTCACGGGTCGGTGGGCACTTGGGCTTCTTCCATGACTTAGCAATTATGAATTGGGCTGTAGGGAGGGGAGAGGGGAGAATGGATGGAGGGAGGGTAATTGGTGATACCACACCTACGATGCATCTTACAAGGGTACATGTGAAATTTACTAGGTGTAGAATATAAATGTTTAAACACAATAAGAAAATGCCGTGAAGGCTATGTTAACCAGTTTGATGAAAATATTTCAAATTGTATATAAAACCAGCACATTGTACCCCATGATTGTATTAATGTACACAGCTATGATT